ATGTTTTCTAATGCATCATAAGGGAGCTTAAAGAAATGCATCCCTAAAGATACTGATATTTAAAAATGCTGAAACTGAAGACATGGACATTGTGGATTGGATATATTAAATTGTGATTGTGCAGATGCTTTGATCTGAACATCTTGTCTAATGTATCCCTTCACGTTCAATACCTGAAATTTTAACAAGAAGAAAAGAATAATATTTTGATGTCCCTACAAAGACACATTTGTTGACATATGTCCAGAATTCCAAAATGCTGACTTTCCTCTAGCTCTTTGCACTATCTAATATAGATACTTCTGTTTAACAAAATGGTGTATGTACGTACATACTAAAATTTCATTGAGCAGAGCAGTAATTTTTTTATTTTTGAAAGAAGTCTTTCTTCTTTCCCTATTGATATTGCTCCCATTATTAAGATGTTTATGAAACAAAAGTACATGAAGTATTGAATATCTCAAAGAAAACAATGAACAGGGAACAATCTTGAAATACACTCAATTTTGGATATAAGACTTCTTTAATAAAAGTTTCAGAGTAGCAGCCGTGTTAGTCTGTATCCGCAAAAAGAACAGGAGTACTTGTGGCACCTTAGAGACTAACAAATTTATTAGAGCATAAGCTTTCGTGGGCTACAGCTACAGCCCACGAAAGCTTATGCTCTAATAAATTTGTTAGTCTCTAAGGTGCCACAAGTACTCCTGTTCTTTTTAATAAAAGTAACTGAGAGGGAGACCTAAGTAGGCAGGAAGAAACATGACATACTGGCAAATTCACCAGTACATGGAACAAAGGCCCACAACCTGGGAGTCATTTCTGACACTTTCCTCTCCCTTGCTCCACACATCCAGGCCATTTCCAAATCCTGTAGCCTTTTTCTTTCCACATCTCCAAGACCCATTCTTTTCCTTCCATTCAGACATCCAAATCTCTCATTCACTGCCTCATACCTGCCTTGATTCCTCTGTGGTCTCCCTGGCATATGCAGTGCCCCCATTTAGTGCATACAAAATGATGCTTTTTAAACTCCTGTTCCTTGTCTACTTTTTTGATCATGTAACTCCCTTACTTGAATTCCTCCTTTTGGCTTCACATCCAATATTGTATTAAGTTTAAGCTTCTTGTCATCACCTTCAAAACTAATATTCTGTCCCTCAATTCTTATCCACCTTTGTCAAGCATTGTATTGCCCCAATCACCTCCAGCATTGTTCCCAACCTCATCTACCACTTTGCCAGACTTTTCAGACAGTCATCTCCTGGCTTTCCTCAATGCAGCCCCTTGTGTATTGTACATACTCTTTGAGTTCATCCTGAAGGCCCCTAGTTGCCCTCATTTACGTCCTTCTTGGGGTATGTCACTAAGCCTGGGCTTTGACTCAGGTTTGAGTCCAGGTCCCCATTCTAGCCACAAACAAATCAATTCAGCTTGGGTCAGCAAACACTCAAGACTCAAGATCCTGAGTCTTGCTGTGACTTGCGTCCAAATCCTGTCATTTTGCAGTGTGGATGGAGGTCAAGCCGCAGATCTGTGTCAGTGTTTGTGTAGGGCAGCATGGATATGTTAGCACAGGTGTGAGACTTAGGTCCAGCAATTGTAAACATGGGCATACAGTGCACTGTGGTTTCTTAAGCCCAGGCTTGCAAACAGAATCCATGGGCTAGAGTCCCACAGACCTGGGTTTACAATGCAGTGTAGACATACCCCCAAAGACCCATTTCTGCTGTGCTACCTTTAAATGAATCAAGTTACATGAATTTAAAGGGTAGTACCTCATTTCCATTACAGATAGCCACATTGGCTTGTGGGATGACAAGTGTCTTTGTTAACTGTTACGTTCTATAGCCACAGCTATGTATATTGATTAGGAATAATGTTTGAATTGTTATAAGAGATCTGAATTCTCAGCTTTTTGATGCATAGTATATGTTCTTTTACCAAGGACTATCCTGAAATTCCTGGATTTCGTATTTGAATTTGAGTACTTTTAAGATGGTTATTCTGTGTATATCACATTCAAGTAAATATTGGAGAATTGGTGTTATGATGGGAGGAGGACCAAGAAGGAGGGGAAAAATTCCCTTATCTGGAAGCTAACTTCCAATAATGGTAGAGGAGGCTTATTCCTCATGCACTGGCATTGCTTCAGGAGATGGGTTACAGGTCTGAGGCACAAAATGTGGTGACAGGAAATTTGATTATTAGAAATATTAATAGGTTGAAATGTGGTGACAGAGCCAACTGATGACTTGCCTACTGGATATGTTGGGATATCTAGGCAAACTTCTAGTGAATCCTGGGCAGAAAGTTGTGTAGTTGCGCTATGTAGTGACTTAGGGAGATGTAGAAGGGAGGACCTGGAATCTAAATTTAGATTACTAGAAAAAAAGTTTAGGTTCAAGGTTCTGAGGTAGCTATCTGAAATGTTTCCAGTTCCATGTGCAGAAGCAGCTTTGAGGAATTCAAGTGTCTTGGTCGTAGTCTGGACTACAAAATTTTACCACATCTGAAGAAGTTTGCCAACTTTGGAAGTTTAATCACAGTTACTTGATGCAATGATGAATGGCCTTAAACCTTCAGTATAGACTGTTATGATTGTTAGCAGCTGTTCAGATGTAATATTTTTTAGTGCATCGCAGGCCTAAGTGCATTGATAAGATGATGTAAAGAGAAAAGACATTGGGAAACTTATTGGAGAAGAGAGATCTGATTCAAAAGCAATGGGCTCCCCCCTATTCAAGGTGGAACCAGACGGCTGAAACATAAAATTAACGAGGTTTAAAACGTAGGTGGTAAGGAAGAAACTTTCCCGTGCACAATTATGGAATAATCTATCTATCTGAGGGTTTCTTGTGCTTTCCTCTGGAACATCTAGTACAGTAGTGTACTTGATAGATGACTGGTCTAAATCAGTATATATTCTTATTTTATATTCTTAAACAGCATAATTTTAAAAAAGTAAAAGTAAAACAAGAAAAAGCTATATTTAAAAAAACCAACATGAATCATCTTTAAGGCCTTCATAATCAAAAGAAACAACACAGCTCCGTTGTTTTTTCCCTGCGTGTTTTTAAAATCTCTGTTCTAGAATGTAAGGTGAAAAGAATGTTAGGTTCTGAATATCCGTTGATCTGCTCACTCTCCTCTGCATTATGACAACTTTAAGAGGTGAAAAGATTTGATTCTCAGACAAATGTGTCTAAAGAGACAAATTACTTTTAAAAAAAGGGAAGCCAAGACTAGAGGTTTGAAAGACATGTTTCCCTGAGATCATATTTTTGTTTGGGAAATATGTAGCTTTTCTGTAATTTAAAAAAAATTCTTTATACTGTTTTGATTCTTAAAAAAATATTTACAAGGATCTTACATTGCATTTCAAAGCCACTATAACATATTTGATAAATCAAACTAAACAAGAGTGTATATGATCTTGTAACTTTCTTGGGCTTTAGTAGATTAATAAAATTGACTTTTTAAAGGGCCGTCTACCTTCATTTACAAAATATTGTTAGAATGTTTGATTTTTAGGAACAAATATTCAACTGCATTGTATCAGTGGTTTCTGAAATTAATCTGTCCACCCTTTGGCAAAGACAAAGGTATAAATTGTACATTTTGGTTTTTGCTGCTTTCAAGCTTATGTATTTTGGGAATAGGAGTAGTAACCCTCAGCTTCTTAAACTTGTTTGTAATGATTGTATTGATCACGTCTCTGAGAAAATTGACAGTTTGAGTATAAGAATAGTCAATTTTTTCTTAATATATGAAGCTGCCTGTAGAGGTATTGTACAAAAGAAACCCAAGGCAGAATTTGACCTTTACGGTTTAAGGATGAAAATATATAAATCATTTTAGAGAACTTAAGCCAGGGGTTCTCAAACTGGGGGTTGTGACCCCTCAGGGGATCGCGAGGTTATTACATGGGGGGCATGAGCTGTCAGCCTCCACCCCAAACCCCGCTTTGCCTCTAGCATTTATAATGGTGTTAAATATGTAAAAAAGTGTTTTTAATTTATAAGGGGGGGGGGTCACACTCAGAGGCTTGCTATGTGAAAGGGGTCACCAGTACAAGTTTGAGAACCACTGACTTAAGCCATACTTTGATCTTGAAGTTCCTGAAATAAACCACCTGATATCGCCTGTTGGTATATTACACAGTGTAACTGGGGTTGAGGATAAGCAAAAATCAGTTGTTGTACTAAAAGTTATCTTCTAATAAAGGTGGAGTAGAATACTTGGGTGGTATTTTGGATTGTTCTCTGAAAACAGGCTAAGAATGGTGTTCTGATAAGGTACTATGTTCATATTTTCACAGAGAACATCACAGAATAAGTAGAAATTTGGGTGCTTGTTTGGAAAAATTAGTTGTTCTGGGTAACATTTCTCAAAAGCACCTAAGTCACAGATGCTTTTGAAAAATTAACACAATTCCTAATTATAGGGTAAGAAAGTCTCACGGTTTTGGTTCTTGTATATGTTATTTTTGGACAATCATGGCTTCTTCATATAATGTCAGTGAAATCATATCCCACTACATTGCTGTTGATATACTTCAGTTCCTAGTGTGCAAGTATCTTATAAATGGTTGGTGGCAGTCATTACATATTTACACTTGTTATTTTTGGAAAACACTGTCATTTGCAACACTGTTTTGTGATAGTCCGTTTTCAATAGGTCTGCTGTCTAACCAGACAGTGCTGGTGCAACATGCGGTTATTCTTCAGTGTTCCTTAGAATACTTTGTATTTTTAGTTAAAAGACATATGACCAGCGTACAGTTTATAGATCTATTTCTCTTTGCAATAAGCTTAAATAGGAAACATTTGTTCTGAAACATAGCTCAGGGACTACTTAGTGATGAGGATGTAGCTATTCTAGATGCAACTGTTACCTCATCTAATACTGAACACTGGTAAAATAAAGAAGTTGTAATATTTATTTTTTGCACAGATTTTTCTCTTATTTTAAGAAAGACTTTATTTTCTTGTATTTTCTAGCAAACTCTGAAATTGAAGTGTCTGTGTCTGCAAGGAATATCCGAAGATTACTTAGTTTCCAGCGGTACTTGAGATCGTCTCGTTTCTTCCGTGGTATTACTATTCCAAGTTCCTCAAACATTTTAGATGATGATTATAATGGACAAGCAAAGGTGTGTTTTTAAAAATTGTTCCTAATTTTTTATCAGAAAAATTTGAATGCGTTATAGCAATACAAATATCTTCCATATTGTAACAGTATAGAAACAGATATATGCAAGTAAATGTGAGCTTATACTGAGTATGTATTGTGTGCAAAAAAAAAAACCCAACAAAAACCCAAAATAATTTTGCTTCAGGATTATGCAGTTTAGCCTGTAAAACCAAAACCAAACCAACCAAACGAAAGAAAAAAAGGGGAAAAAAAAAAGGAAACAGTATGGTAGATGAATCATAGGCAGTGAGGAAGAACAACTTCTGTGCTGGGAGATGCTAGTTATTTGAATATCCAAATCTTATGAGGCATTTAATTTTATAAAAGCAGCAGATCATACCAAATGTGATTTAAAAAACACTGGAGGTGGCTAAACTTTAATAGTGTCTTTTGTCAGGTACAGTGTTCCAGACAAATGCATTTATGAAACAAACTAGATGCACGTCTGCATACAGTGCATATTTATTATATACACAGCCTCTTAATCTAATGAGGTGAATGGAAACCCTTTTTATGTATGCTTTTATCCTTAATGCAGTGTATTCGTATTGAACTTTTTTCTGAAGTTAAGAACAAAAATGTTACCACAAAAATGTGGTAAAATGACTATTTTAACAAAATATCTTAGATTTCTGTTTTCTCTATGCTACTTTAATGGGGGCTTTTTGCCTCTGAGAGTAATCATTTGGAGAGCTTTGTGTGGCTAATAATTTCTGCAGTGCAACTTTGTTGTCCCAAATCTGGATATATTGGAACCAATTCAGTCAGATTGCTCCTTTTGTCAAGCCCTTTTAAACATCAATAGTATTTATTTAATGTAATCATCTTAAAAAAATAGAGCAGTAATTCTGATTCAGTGTGAAACTGGACTGCTCATTGGCTACCAAATAAAAGCTTATTATTCACATGTTGTAAATGAAATAAGCATAAGTTCTCTGTCTTAGAATTCATTTTAGAATTCACTCCAGTTTTGTTTAGGGAGGGACATGAAAACTCTGGGTTATAAATTTTGGCTCAGATATGTACTGAAGTATCAATTTTGTGACCACTCTTCTTTTAAAATATTTTTCTCTTCCTTGTTTGACCAAATGGGGAAAGAGCAAAGCTGACTGCCCAGTTCTGTCAAAAAGATATCTAATATTTCAGTTACATTGATTTTATTTATAACATTTACAAGTGTTAAACAGTTTGTTTTTCTAGCTAATATAGTTACAATCAGACAGAAATGTGGTTTACAAGTTGTAAACCTTTAATCTGTTTTCAATAATAGATGTTAAAATCCACAGCTGGCTCAGAAGGCAATCGCTTTTTTTGTGGACTATAATTTGATGCTAATCACATACAGAATGAAAATGTTACAGTAGAAATGTTTTTATTTGCTTTCAGTGTATGCTGGAGAAAGTTGGAAAATGGAATTTTGATATCTTTCTTCTTGATAGGCTAACAAATGGTAAGTTCATTTTTATTGCGGATATTCTTCTAAGCATGCTGTACTGTTCTTAGGTAGATTTCATTCTACCATAAACTATCCATAACATTTCATTTCATTTTCTGTGTGGAGGAATCTTACTGCTTGATTATACTTTAAAAAGTACAAATTTATTATCCTAGTATTGTGACTAAGGGCTTGGCTACACTTGCAAGTTAGAGCGTATTAAATCAGCCCCGGACGCCCTAACTCCTGAGTTGTCCACACTGGCAAAGCACTTAGAACACCTGGACTCTGCAGCTGGAGTGCTTCTGGTAATCCACCTCCACGAGAAACTTGCTGCGCCTTGGCTGAAATGCCCGGGTGTCAGTGTGGACGACGTGTTGCACTACTGCGCTGTGATTGGCCTCTGGAAATGTCCCCAAATCCCCTGAAGTCAAGTGGCCACTCTGGTCATTGTTTTGAACTCGACTGCAGGCATGCGGATATCCCCTTTCAAAGCTCCGTTTCTGACAGCCGGCATGCTTATCTGCTACAGGACACAAAGCAAACCATTACTGTGGAATGCTGCTGCTGCCGAGGCAGGCATTTGTGCGTGTGTGTGTGTGTGAGAGAGAGGGGGGGAGGGGAAGAAAGGTCTGCTGCTGTCTGAACTTACAAGACTGCATGCTGACACACTCTCTGCCCCCCAAAACACAGTCTCTCCCCCCACATACACACAACACACTCCCTGTCATGCTCCCCCCACCCATTTGAAAAGCACGCTGCAGACACTTGCACACTGGGATAGCTATCACAATGCACTGCTCTCTGTGGCGTTGCAAGAGCTGCTAATGTGGCCACGCCACCGCGCTTGCAGCTGACAGTGTAAATACACGGCAGCATTTTCCCTGCTGCTGTCTCAGAAGGTTGGTTTAACTTCCAGCACTCTACATCTGCAAGTGTAGCCAAGCCCTTATGAAAGGTTTTTGGACAGTTGGCACTTTTAGTTTGAAAGCCTAGACTCTATGACCTGAAATCTAGTCTTAGTTACATTGCAGTAGTATTACTACTTACATCACCATATCCTTGAGTTGGTGTAATAGACCCCCTCAAGTAGTTGCTTGATAGCCTAATTATTCTTTTTCTTTATCAAAGATCTTTAAAAATGTTTGAAACTCAACCCCTAAAATCTGTGCTGCTTAGTTTTAGAAAGCCATTAGTGTATATGGATTCTGTCCAATAGGTGAATTATGCCAAACATGTCTCTTCCCCTGAGGAATTTAGTGTAAAGGCAGAATAGTTACAGTATAATAGAATACAGTACAAAAAGCAGAATTATGCATTATAGCCAGGAAACTTTATAGAAGAGATGGAGCTTTAGAAGGTTTTGAAGGAGAGTAGGATTTAGGCATCCATAAGGTGGGAGGCTGCTCTAGGTATAGGGGCACAATAGAAGAAAGCAATAAATCAACAGTGGGCAAAGGAAATTATTGGAATACGTGAGTATAAAGACTTCAAAGAGCAGAGAGGGTTGTTGGGGGACTGTAGAAAGAGTTTCTGGCAGAGAAAAGGTATAATGAAGTTATGGGTAGCTTAGTAATTGGAGAGTAGACATGGAGCTTGATGCAAAAGTAGTAAAGCCAATGTAAGGAATCAGGTGGAGGTAGGGTAGGGTTGTCAGTAGATTGGAGGAAAGAAAGATGGGCATGTGAGAAACCAGCAAGTAGGAGATTATGGTAGTCAATGCAAGTAATTGTTATAGCATGACTTAACATCTTGTCATACAAAAGGAGAGAAAGGGATGAATTTTTAAAATATTGGAAAGGAATTGGTGGTGAAGGAGTAGTTGAGGGAAAGAAGAATTGAAGATGACACCAAGCTTTCATGTCTGGGAAATAGAAGGAGGGATAGTTGTGATGGTAACAATGATGAAATAAAGGAGAAGAGGAGAAAGTTTGTGGGGAAAGATGAGCTCTTTCTTAATAATATTTTGTTTGTGTTGGGACACCCTAGAGAAATGTGGAACTGGGTTGAAGAAGAAGGGCTGGTAGTATATGGGACCACCAAAGAGAGATTGAAGAAGAAAAGGACAGAGGGTTAGACTTTGAAAAGAAACATTAAAGAAGCAACCCAGCAAGGTCAGGGGCAACCCCCAAAGAACAGTATTCTGTCTTTCTTTTGTTGAAGGAAAGTTCTGGGCATCATATTTTATATTTTCATCTAGTGGAAGAGAATCAGTTTACTTTTTATCCATTCTTGTTATGGTTTCATTTGTCTCAAAAGTGAGTCTCATTAAGACAAGGAATCTGAGAGCTTTTCTACATGAGAAAGTTGCACTCGTGTAATTTAAAGTGAAAATTTAAATAGATACAGTAACTCCTCACTTAACGTTGTAGTTATGTTCCTGAAAAATACTACTTTAAACAAAACGATGTTAAGTGAATCTAATTTCCCCATAAGAATGAATGTAAATGTGGGGGGGTTAGGTTCCAGGGAATTTTTTTTTGCCAGACAAAAGCTATATTTTTTTATACATACACACACATACGCAGTATAATATACACAGCAGTGATGATTGTGAAGCTTGGTTGAGGTGGTGAAGTCAGAGGGTGGGATATTTCCCAGGGAATGCTTTACTGCTAAATGAGGCTGAGCCCTCAAGGGTTAACACATTGTTGTTAATGTAGCCTCACACTCTACAAGGCAGCACGAATGGAGGGAGGGGGAGGCAGCATAGCAGAACGAGACAGAGACACACACTGTGTGTGTGTGAGACACAGAGAGAGAGAGACGCACATTGCCCCTTTAATTACACTGACCCCACTCTAAGTACATTGCCTTTTTAAGTAGATCAGCAAGTTGAGACCCCAGCTGCTGCCAGCAAGCTACCTCTGTCCTGAGCCCTGTAGTGTTCCCCCCTACCCCCCGGCTCTGTGGAGATGGGGGTACAGGAGCAGGGTGGGGAGGGGGACACCTTGACATTAGCAGCCCTCTTTCTCCCCCTCCCCCCTTTGCACAGCAGGCAGGAGGCTCCCGGGAGCAGCTCCAAGGCAGAGGGCAGGAGCAGCACATGGCAGTGGGGGGAGGGACAGTTGAACTGACCAACAATTGATAGCCTGCTGGGCGGCTGTGGCACAGGGAACTTAAGGGAGTGAGGAGCTGATGCGGGTGCTGCCCGTCCACCCTGGTTCCAAGCCTCCACCAGCTAGCTCCAGTGGGCTGCTCTTTCTGCAAGCAGTGGACAAAGCAGGCAGCTGCCAAACAACGTTAGAAGGGAGCATTTCACAACTTTAAACGAGCATGTTCTCTAATAGATCAGCAACATAACAACGAAAGGACGTTAACCGGGACGACTTTAAGTGAGGAGTTACTGTAAAGTTAATGTGGTGCAAAAAGCTGTGGCTGTACTTGAGTTAGGTTAACATAGCTAAATTGGTCAGAGATGTGAAAAAAACACATCCCTGACTGACATAGCTATGTCAACCTAACCCCCAGTGTAGGTGCAGCTGTGTGGATGGAAGAATACTTCCATCAACATAGCTAACTTTGGGGAGGTGCTATTCTTACCCTGATGGAAAAAACCCTTCCTTTGATATAGGCCAGGTGTACATGCAAAAGTTAAATCGACCCAGCTACATCACTCGGTTGTGAAAAATCCACATCCCTGAGTGATGTAGTTAAGCCAACCTAACCCCCAGCGTAAACAGTAATAGGTGGACAAAAGAATTCTTCCATCAACCTAGCTACTCCCTCTTGGGGAGGTGGATTAATTACAGCAATGGGAGAATCTCTCCCATCGCTGTAGTGTCTACAATGAAGTGCTATAGCAGCCCAGCTGCAGCTGTGTCACTGTAGTGTTTCAGGTGTAGACTAGCCAATAGACTATGGGATTCTGTCAAACATAGCTATGCTGATATGTAGATGCACACTATGTGGTACTTCTGCATAAATACCTCTTAAAGGAATAAACTTCTGAAGAACATCTTGCCTTAGTGTTGGGAATAACAGCTTTTTGGGGAAGTGGTACCAAAATGACATGCATGCATGTGGTGAAGCATGACAGTAAGTTATATGGGGTGGGAAATGTTGTGCTTCTGAGTAAAGCACCTAGCACACTGAGTGGCTGTGTAATTAGTTGTTAAAGTGACACTGTCAAAGTAAATATGCCAAAAACTGATCTAGTTGTCAATATTATGTATGTTTAATTTGCAAGCCTTTCCTTACTGCCTCTGAAAATTTAAAAAAAAAAAAATACAAATGTATGATATGGAATATTTCAGCTCCTAGTAAATGAATGATTATAGCAGTTGCTTTGTAGTACTACAAATTTCATAGCAAATTGCACATTTGTATTTTCTTTGATTTCTGGTTTCAGCAAGGAGTACTTTTGCAAAAAAGAACACATGGTGGAAACTAAATGTAAGGTGTTCAACTTGGGGCAGTTGCCAACATTGACTAGTTTTTTGGCTTAATTACCTCTGTGTTCCATTTTAAGCAATAAACCTATTTAGGTGGATTGCAGGTTTATTGTTTTTAAAGGTACAGTGCCACTGAGTGAGACTCCTCATTGCATAGTTTATTGCTGGTAGTGGACATATTGAGAATCACTGGGGGAAATTATTATTGGACTAGACCAATTAATGCTTATAGAATTCTTATACATTTCAATCTGTTTGCATAACTTTTGAATACAAAAACTTTTAAATAATTTTTCCCTTGTGATGGAAGCACTAATTTAATCTTTTTTAAAACGAATTAATATTTGTATTTTATTTTTAGGAAACAGTCTAGTCAGCTTAACCTTCCACCTGTTTAATCTTCATGGACTGATAGAACACTTCCACTTAGATACGATGAAACTTCGTAGATTTTTAGGTAAATATATTATAGCCTTTTGTTAAAGTGAACATTACTCCTTAACTGCATTTTAAAAGATACCATTTGAAGTACTGCTTACAGTTTAGCAAGAAAGTTTGAATTGCACTAATTTGAAGCTGGTTCCTATAATGGTAGTATTGTGATACTGTGTGCACTTACAAATTTTGGAAATAGCTTAGTTTTAATAATAGCATTAGGGAGGTGAAGGAAAAAAAATTCTACTAAAAGCAGTAAAATTAATTTTGGCAGAAAAATTTGATTTTGCCCAAGAATGTGTGAATTTCATGATGCGTCACGGTTGTATGCAGCGGATTATGAAGGCTGAATTTCACATCACAAATGAGGGAAGAGGAGATAGTGAGAATATTATTGAAATATAATGTTGGTTTTGATCTTGGTTTCTGATAAGAAACATAGTTTGTCCTTATCTAACCTGTAGTCATCGCCAGTTCAGTAGTACCAGTTGCTGACACCAATTTCTGCTCAGATCTTTTTAGTAGTATAGAAAAGGATCCAGTCTTGCTCCACTGATTTAGGAATTGAAGCTACTCTCCTTAAAGCTGTACAGGAATGTTTGGGACCTTCATGAGGTGATGCTGTATTGTGTATCCTTGGAGAAAGGTGTAAATTAATGTTACTTTTATTTGACAGTGGGAGAGCAGATCTGTTTAATTGTTTATGGACTTATATTTCTGTATCCTAATGTCCTTGGCACAGTCCCTGGAATGATAGTTCCTTCTTGTTTTCACACAAGAGTCACCATGTGGTGCAACATCTCACTTGTCAGTGATGTCCTGGGATGCCTTTACCATGACTTGTTGCACGAAGACCAAAGACTCATCCCTCACATTGCCTGTTTTCTCCTATATCTTCCAGCTCAGTCTGAAGGGAAGAATAATTCTTGATTGAGCCAGGAGAAGCAGCTCTCTGTTCCCTTTGGCAGGGTTTCTCAGAAGGCTTGATCTGTTTGATACAAAGCATGTTTTTGTGGTAATTAAGTTTGAAAAAGCAAGGATAAATGGGACTATGGGGATTTATAGGGCAAAAATCTGTTGGGTGATTTATTGGGGATTGGTCTGGCTTTAAGTAGGGGGTTGGACTAGATGATCTCCTGAGGTCCCTTCCAATCCTGATATATTCTCCCCTCCCCCAGACAGAAAGGACAGGCAGGAGTCCAGTCTGTTCATCAGTCTGTTCAAATGCAAGCTCTGTTTTACAAGTTCCCTAGCAGTTTCTCCTAATAAATGACTGATGTCTCCTTAAGTGAATTCAGGGTCTCTCATCCAAACAAACATATCAGCTGTCCTTGGAAACCTGTAGACTGGAAAGTGAAGGGAGTATCTAGACAAACCTCTTATTTTAGGCTGTCCAGTTTGTCACTGTGACAAATTGTTTGTCTTGTCTCCTTGGTCATCCCCTTGGTTATCTGAGGATTTTGTTGTGGCTCTCTACTTGCATTTGTTTGTGTTCTGACTTGGCTAGTGTAACTCCACAGAGTAGGGTGTTAACACATGCACAAGATCTCGCGTAGCCTTTGTGGCCCAGGTGACTATTTTGGACATTTGCAAAGCAGTGACTTGGTCTTCAGTACAAACCTTTGCTTCACATCATGCCATCTTTCATTGTTCTAGAGATTATTCCAGATTTGGGCATGTGGTCCTGCAATCCTTATTCAGGTAGATTCTGATCCCACTGCCAGATCAAACAGCTTCTGAATGAAATGGAATGGACATATGCAATCACTTGAAGAGAAAATGGTTACTAGCCTATTCTGTAATGGTTGTTCCTTGAGATGCGTTACACATGTCCATTCCACAACCCACTCTTCTTTCTGTTTCTGTCAGACTCTGTCTGGCGAGAAGGACTGAGGAAGTGGTTAGGGGTGTCTCCGCTCTTTATACCTTCATGTGATGGCACGAAGTAGCAGAGGGCTTGTGCCGCCCCAGTGGGTTACCGTTAAGGGAAAAATCTCCAACAGGTGTGTGGGCACCCAGTGCTCAGTTGAAGTGAAATTATAGAATAGATTACTAACCAGTTTTCTTTTGTTTTTGCTGCAAACTAGTTCCCTTGTACTGATTCTACTCAAGTGACCTTCCACATATTGTAATTGCAGTGCTTAAGGAAAGCAAGAAAGACTTGGAAAGGCAAGCAAAGACAAAAGTCTGGTTCTTATGGGGCTGGTGGCTGGACAGTGGTCAGGAAGGAAAGACTTCTTCACATGTACTGAAACTAAAAGCAGAATAGCTAGCTCTTCTGTCCTTGATGGGTTGCTGTAGGGTACCGTTTTCTGATCAAGGCCCGCCAGTGTGATGTGTGGATTGCCTAAATTATCTATGAGCGATGCAAAAGGTTAGCAGAGGTGTCAGCCCTGCTGTTCTGATGAATAAAATCAACTTCCTGTGTGTGTTCCAGGTTGCCTCAATGTTCAGGCAGACTGGCTTAGCAGAGAGAGAGAGAGACTCCTGCTAAGGAGGTGGTTGCTCAGTCAAAATCATAATATTCCAGATCATAACATTTTGGTTAGAGTTAAATAACTTCATCTCCAGGATGAATTTATACTAAATCTTGCGTTAGCTTAAAAAATATTGTGTCACCACATAAAACCTTTGTGTGAGAGTACTGGAGATGGTTCTACTTAAACAAATTTGATATGTGGAGTTTATATATGTCTTATCAAAAATGTCAATTTGTGATATTTATATTGCTTTTTTTTTAAAATTGCCATTTTAATTAAACCCAGATGTTTGTTTTCTTTATATAGTTATGGTTCAAGAAGATTATCATAGTCAAAACCCTTATCATAATGCAGTTCATGCTGCGGATGTGACTCAGGCCATGCACTGTTATTTAGAAGAACCTAAGGTAATTTGTTTTACGTAACGTGTAAAAGTACAACTATAATGTTTGTATTTTTCTTAATGTTCTGTAAAACCATAAAGATTTTAAGCTACTGGGAAAAAAAAACTTTGCTCCAAGAAGTATGCACATCATTGAGTTAGAAGCTGGAGACCCAAATAACTCAGTTTTTCAAAAGCTGATATATCACTTATGCTTAGTTCACCTTGGATACTAATGAACAAATCTCCTCTGCCAGATGCAGGTTGTAGCAATGTACAAGAGTTGTCTGTCCTTTCTTCTTTCTAAAATGCACATTATGAAAGGGAGATATCTAGCAAAGAGAGTTCTACGTTAGGAGCTGAGCAAAGCTAACAGTTGTCAGAGGTGACTTGAATTGCTGGTACTCTGGTATAGGCTACACTCTAAACAGGAAATTTCAGGGGAAAATGCAACTTTCTGATTAGATTAGAGAAGATCCATGGTGTACTGTAGCCAGTTGGAAACCAGCTATCTAGTTCAACACTGATTTTTTTATTAGTTTGGTTTATTCTTGTATAGTAATAGTGGTCTACACTACTCTTGCATAAAGTGACAGAGTCCTGTGGCACCTTATAGACTAACAGATGCATTGGAGCATAAGCTTTTGTGGGTGAATACCCACTTCGTCAGATGCAAGCATTTTTAATTTAAACAGGGATTTTGAAATACTCTCTGGTTGGTAATGGAGTAGCTAACAATTTGAGTGACAGTTCTAACTACCATAAATATTTAAATAGTTATTGCATCTATCTAGATACTATTGATAAGGTCAGATGAAATTGATCTTGAGCCTTTAACTCCTGTAGAGTAATTACTCCTGGATTTCCCTGTACCATGGTTGCTATTAAACTTTAAAAAAAAAAAAAGTTCTACTAGTACCCTCACCCCGTTCTCCGCATTCACCTTTCTGTGATGGTGCACTTCCTTCAAAGCACTGTATGAAAGATGAAATTGATTGGTCATTTTTGGGACCTTTTTCCAGGGACTGAAAGCTATGGAAAGCCAATCAGAATATTTTCACCTGTGAATGTTCCCATGAATAATACTGTTACATTTATTACAGCTTTCCAAATCTCTAACTCCATGGGATGTTCTGCTCAGTTTAATTGCAGCTGTCACACATGATTTGGATCATCCAGGTGTTAATCAGCCTTTCCTTATTAAAACAAACCATTACTTAGCAACTTTATATAAGGTAAGTGAAAATATCATACTTATCAGAACCAGGTTTGAGTATCTTTTCAGTATAGAAGAATTATATTAACAGTGAAATTGCTAATGTACTCATTTAATGGTAGACTTGAACCTAGGATGTTTATCCCATTGAGTGAAAACAATAAATACAAGCTATTAACATAATAGAAGTGTTAAAAAGTTTGAAAATCATGAACTTTTTAAGAGGCATATAGACTGTAGTGTAAGACTAATCAAATCTTTTAAAGTAACAGCAATAATTTTGTTTCTGTTTTGCAGAATATCTCAGTATTAGAAAACCACCACTGGAGATCAGCAGTGGGGTTGTTGAGAGAGTCTGGTTTATTTGCACATATGTCATTAGAAAACAGGTATGTATTTTTTATACAGAGAGTATACACTATATGAAGTTACACACAATGTATTATCCATGGCATCAGACAACTTTGTAAACAAGTGTTCTGTTAAAATATTACATAGCAATTCATAATCCTAGCTGAATATTCAGATCATTTAAAGATTTAATGGGTGCTATGAGCCTTGCAGGAACAGTTAATTATTCAGTATACAGCTTGGAAACTAGTATTTATTGTGAACACTGTGTGATGGAAGTGTATTCATTATACAAACATTTGATTAGATTGAAAGAAAATATTGACTGACTAGTAAGAGATAATTGTATTCTGTGACCTAAACAGTAACTCATGTTCTGTATTTTTAAATTGCAGCTCTTTTCATCTTCTTTAACAATAGCTAGAATAATTTAGCTTACAAATATTTGCAGTAGGTTTCTCTCTTCCTGAGAGCTACCTGTGAAATGTCAGAGTATTTTTATAAATATTGTAGTTTTAAAACATTTTATATAAACATTTGAAAGTGCTGCACTTTCCGCCCTCATGGCGTACAGTTTATGTATACATTCGTATACAGTTGCTACATTCAACTTAAATGTGTCAATATGATGCCTAATTTTTTTCCTCATATTTTCGTGCCTTTGGGTATTTTATATCACTAATTTCAGGAAGCTGATGGAAAGTCAGATAGGTGCTCTGATTCTTGCCACAGACATAAGTCGGCAAAATGAATACCTATCCCTGTTTAGAACCCATTTGGACAGAGGAGACCTATGTTTAGAGGAGGCAGACCATCGCCACTTCATTTTACAGGTGACTGTTTCGAAAGTTTCAGAAGTAAATTGCTTCAAATATCGTACTTTTTTTTTCCTCCTAGGAAAATGGTCTTCATCTGCCATGGGTGACCAGTGAAGAGGGGATGTTTTTATTCTTTAGTTGTGCTTAGTGTGCACAAGGCCTGCTTACACAATGAGATGGAGTACCAGCAAGACCTGCTGAGGCTCCACAAGATCCTCACTCTGTAGAGGGCAAAACTAGCCCTTTCTGCCTGCACATGTTAGAGAGGAGCTTTCTCAATGAAGCAGAGGAAGGAGCAGATGAGTCAGAAGCAGAGGAGGGGGAATTAGAAATGGAGGTTAAGGTTTTCAGTTTGTCACTGATCCCAGCAATCAGAAACTGGGTTAACAAATCTTCCATTGAGGTGCAAGTTTTTTGCTCCTCCCTCTAATGAAAATCCCTAAGAGACTGGTTAAGACTGTTTTAGAGTTAGCTTTGGGTCCCTTGATCAATACTCTAAGGTATATTGTGGGGTACTGCTGTATTGTTATGAAGCCTTGGTTTGTGCTGTAAGATACCTCTTGATAGGGAGGCATACAGAAGGCTAAAACACTTCCTTTGAGAAAGAGGAACATTAAACTGTTAGAGTGCAGAAATCCTGTGATTTCAATTGGTCATCCTGTCTACAAAAGTCAATGAATAGTAAGAACCCAGTGTTTGACCTGTCCTGACCAAGCCATAAACAACAAATTTTGTGTTCAGTGGGGACTTATATTTTGTTTTTCAAAAATAAGTAATGCAAGGAAGTAAACTGAACTATAAAAAGCGACAAAGAGTTCTGTGGCATCTTATAGACTAACAGAAGTATTGGCGCATAAGCTTTCGTGGGTGAATACCCACTTTGTCAGATGCAGATAAGGTGCCACAGGACTCTTTGTCGCTTTTTACAGATCCAGACTAGCACGGCTACCCCTCTGATACTAAACTGAACTATATTAACTCAGTCCTACTAGGATCTCTGGCATTGAAACCATGCTATCAGTTAATTCTTTAAAATGTCTTATTGCAGTTATAAAATGGGGTGCGGGGATGTGAAATGGCTTTAAGATAGTGTTTTCCTAACAGATAACTTAATTTTTGGTTAGATTTAATTTAAAATAAATACTGTTTTGTAATTTTATTTTGTATTTAAATGTCTTTATATTGAATGTTCTGCATACAGTGCCCTTGAGAGATACTTTGTATTTAACTCTCATTCACTTTGTCCAGGATAGACGTCTGTTTGCCTTCAGTTTTACTTAGCTCTGTTCATGACCTCTTATAATTCTCCAAATAGCATTCTGTTAGTGTACTATGGTTAAGGCTAAGATTTTGTCACTGATATTTTTAGTAAAAGTCACAGACAGGTCACGGGCAAAACACAAAAAAGTCATGGAAGCCGTAACCTGTCCCTAACTTTTACTAAAATTATACCTGACAAAATGGGGATCTGCGGATCCCCACACTACTTCAAGTGGGGCAGCTGCAGGGACTAGGAGCTGCCTGTAGCAGCTGGGGGCTGCGGGGTGCCCTGCTACCTGCAGCTCCGGGCGTCCCTCGCTGCCCGCCGGGGCTGGGAGCTTGGGGATTCCCTGCCACCCCCAGTGTCCGGGAGCTCGGGGGTTCCCTGCCATCCCCAGCAGCCAGGAGCTCGGGGGTTCCCCCATAGTGCTGCCCTGGGCATCAGGGAGCTGGTGGTTCCTCCACCACCGCCACCAGTGGCAGAGAGTTCGGGGGTTTCCCCGGTGGCGGCAGGGAGTTCGGGGGGGTCCCCCACTGCTGCTCTCCAGGAGCTCAGGGGGTTCCCCACCATCCCCGGCGGGAGGGAGCTGCAGGGGCCACCACAGGCGGCAGGGGTACCCCACAGCTTCCTGCCCCAGCGGGGGACCCTGCAGCTCCCGACCATCTCAGGCTGAAGTCACGGAGGACGCTGGAATTCACGTATTCTGTGACTTCGGCGACCTATGTGACTAAATTGCAGCCTTAACTATGGTATATAATTTTAGAGTGAAATGCAAGTGGTTGGGTTTGTTACCCTGATTAGAAAAATGCATGAGACGTTATGGAATACAGTAGTAGCTACTCTAGAAATTATGCTGCTTTTTTGTATTCATGTTTTTGCATGTAGAAAAAAATTGAAAGTAGTGTAACCCAGTATATGTAATTCACTAGATGGCTTTGAAGTGTGCTGATATTTGTAATCCATGCCGGACCTGGGAACTGAGCAAGCAATGGAGTGAAAAAGTAACAGAGGAATTCTTCCATCAAGGCAAGTAAAAGAATAGAAATAGTCTAATCTCATACCAATGAATGTGTAAATGTATCATAAAATGAATATCTGAGAGTCATAGTGACTTTGTGAGATGAAGGGCTATAAATTTAGGCCTAAAGGAGGGTTCAAATAATCCTTTTCTTCTGTTGGCTACATTCTTGAAAGAGGCTGCTGCTTCTACTAACAGCTGATGAAGAATCTGCTTTAACTCAGTACACCCAAAAGTTTCAGATTCTAGTTGAAATATATTCCTCACTATTAAAGATACTTTAAATGAAGGATTGCCTGTTTTGTGTGTGTGTGTGTGTGTGTGTGTGTGTGTGTGTGTGTGTAGTATATATAGTAGGT